ACTTAATTTGTAATAAACATGTGGATGTTTCTGTTGAATTTGTTCCAGAGTTCCAGGTAAACTGAAGCAATTTGTACTAGACTTGCATTCTGGAAAATTGCATAGAGAATTTCATCATGGCCCTGATCCAACTGATGTAGCACCTGGTCAGGTAAGGTTACAGCAAATACATTTCATTTGGCCATTCAGGAAAGACTTTTTTATTACTCTTTGTCAGAGCTGTACTTTCTGGTATATTTGTACTTTTAACTTCTGTCTTTTGAAAGAGAAAATCTATTAACAGAAGCATAACATTACCACCTTTGCTTGGCTCCTCAACCTTCTTTGGGTAAAGATAAGGGAGTATCAGGGGTGGTAGGCATTAGGGTAATATGGTACCTATTTGCCTTGAATAAGGGAAGAGTATAAGAATATTTATTTTCTCCACTGAAACAGGAGATCTTGGGCTGGATGACTCTGACTTCACAGAGCTGCTCTTAGGTTCTCCTGTGACTTCAGTGCAAAAGCTGATAATCCATCATAGCTGCATTATTTCCACACAACACACTACTAGAGGGTGCTTCTAAGGGGAAACAACAATTGAATATTTTATATATCACCAGTATAAGCAGAAGGAAATTATTAGAGCATCAAGAAAGGATGGGTGAGCAGTAATAGGCATTACTGCTTTTGTTAATGTGGTTGACAAACAGCATTAGCAGTGCTCACAGGCTGCACTTGTCAGTTTGATTTCCTCATGGTTCTTCTCAAAGCTTGTCATGTTGTGTAATTACATGCCTGGAAGTCACTTCTGGGATCTCTTCAGAAACACAACTATGAGATCCTTCTCCAGACAAAAGTCTGAAGGCCCTCAGTGTTAGAAAAGAAAGGACATGAACAGCCTCAATTCCCTCTGCTCATTGCAGTCTTCCAATGGTGTCTCTATCAGCCTTTGTATCTTCTTGATACTCCACTCAGCTCACAAGTTTGGGGTCTTGCTGAAAAGTGCAAATTTAACTGTCAGGGAACATTTTCTCTACCTTGGGCACCCTCCATAGAAAGAACTGTTTTTAAACACTTTGTTCAAGGTATACATGGTGTTGTCCAGGGCTCAAAGAGCCACTTTGGTCCCAGAGGAGCCCTGGTGCCCTTGTGCTGGGGAGCCTTGGGCCATTCCATGGCTGAGGGACAGAAACTATTTATAGCTACAGGCTCCTTTTCCTGCTCATCTGCGGAATGTGGTAAGGATGGCACTGCTCTCAGTCGATTGAGTGCAGCCTCCTGTTTCCCTGCTCAAAAGATTTAAAAGTGTGAAAGCCCTGGAGGGCTTGCCTTGGCCAAGAGAATGACTGCATTTGAATGTTGTCATGACTGGCTGTGAAAACACGTGGGCTGAATTGTCTCAGCAGTAATTCATTTGAGTTGTAGTTCCCTGTGTTTCTCAGAAATTCATTGAGCAACCAGAATTCAGGTCATCAGGAGGAGGGGCAGAAATAAGGGCTGGGACTGAGGCATAGGCCAGGCACTTGCCCTGAGGAGGAGGCTTGGCCAGGGAAGGAGGAAGCCTGTGGAGTCCCTGGATCCTGCTGCCTGCCCGTCTGGGCACAGGCACAGGAACCAGAGCTGCAGGCTCGCTCTTGCCTCATTTCTGCCTTGAAAAATGCACACAAAACCTGGGATGTTTACATTGCCATCTCTGCATGGCATCCTGCCATCTTGTGGAAGATGTGGATGCAATGGAAATAAATACTGGCACTCACTAAACTGGAGGCTGCTGTCGTGGGTCACCCATGCCCCTTGAATTGCATGTATTTTTGTATGGGGTGTTTTCTTTTAGTTTCCATGGAAAAGCAATTCTAAAATACTTTTGCAGTTAAGTCACTTCTGCCCTGGTATATCTCATAAAACACATGCAGATAAATCTAGAATGCCCCCAAAGCCAGTGGTGGATTAAAGCAAATACACAGTGGGGTACATCTGAAATACTTCTGTGTGACTTGTACAGAAACTCATGTGATGGCCATTGCCCTTGAGATGTTACAACAAAAGGAATATCCTTAACTGGAATTGCTTAATTAATGTGTGTCTGTGTTCCACCTACTTAGGACTCAGAACATACCTTCCAAAAAAAACCCCCAAACTCAATTTATGAGGATGCTGCACATTTCTACATTCCCATAATGCTATAAATTCATTTAATGGAGATGAATGATTATTAGTCTAACAAACAATTTTACTGTTTTTACTGTTTTTTCTGTTTTTCAGCCAATTCAGGATTTAGCAAGCAGCCCACCAGAGAGCTCATTCCAGAAACTGGCACCCAGTGAACATAGGTACACCTTATTGAGGGAAAAAGATGAACTTTAAAAAACTTGAAATAATCTTGCAAGCCTTTCAGACAGCAGCATTGACTTCCGTGTGGTGGAAATAGTAAACCTATATTTTCATAATTCTATGTGTATTTTTATTTTGAATAAACTGAAAAATAATTTTTTTCTCCCCAGGCTTGTAAATACATTTGTTTGGTGGGTCATTCTGTACAGCATCTTTCAAACAGTACATTCTTAATGCTATAGTAAAATATCAGAGACCCATCCAGACTCTTGATCTAACTCTGTAAAACTTTTATAATCCAAATGAAGGTATCCTTGCCAGAGACATGCTGTTAACTTGCACTATCCCATTAAATAGGACTTTTGGGTTGTTTTCTGTGTAACCTTGGTAGTATGTGCTTTTTCTTCTTCTGTGAACAGCTATCCTGGTAATCTATTTCTTTGTCACATTTTTCTCCAACTTAAGAGGGTCTTCTATTCTGGATACTTGGGAGGGAATAAATTAAAGTTTTACAGAATCTTGTGTGGTGCTTTACTGGCTGTAAATATCTAAGCAATTTAACAATCCAGAATATTAAAATACCAAGTGAGGAGAGGAAAAGTTCTGATGATAATGGCTGTATTTTGAATCAAGGGGCTGTACTGACCTGCTTCAATTTCCTGGAACTCAGATTGTTATGCTGCCCACGAGGTTGTGGCAGAAAGACAGGAATGTTTAAAACCTTTCAGCATCAGAGAGGACTAGGACTGGACTGGTATCTGAGTTTGTCAGTCCTAAATTTTTATCTGTGTGTAAGTTATTGTTAGTCTCTGGGTATTTTGGGGTTTTTTTTTCCTTCTGGGTCCCTGCCTCCCTGGCAGAGACACTGTTCCACCAACCATTGCAAATTTCCTGTTACTCTTTGCCTGGCTTGTGCCTTACTTATTGTGTACTCTTTCAATTCTGTTCTGAAGAAGGAATTACCATTTTCCTTGTGGCATTCTGTTATGGGCTTTCCTCAATGAACCTTCAAGCTGCTGGGTGAGGTGAACATACAGTAACTGTGAGAGGACAGAATATCTCTGGATTTGTGCAGCATTGCTGGAGATTGCTGGATTTGTACCCTTACTGCACAGACTGTATGTCTGTGACTTGGGCCCCAGGGCTCAGTGTCCTTGGAAGCAAGTTTGTTCTCTGCACAGGTGGAACACTGGGTTCTGGTTTACTTAGGAAAGTGCCCCAGCCTGTGCAGTCACTGCTCAGAACCATTTTGCCTCTCAGCTCGATGCCCCTGGCTCAGTTATTGACAGAGGACATGACAGAGTTAGTGACATGGTCCTGAGCAGCTGTGGCAAAAGTTGATCCCACGACAGGCTCCTGACTTAAGCCCCTGCAGCACCAGGCTCAGCAGATTTCTAGGGAGCATTTCTGAGGACAGAGTTGCTGATACTACACTAAGCTACAGCTGACTAAGCAGCTGCAGAGTTGGGAGCTAAAACAATATTGCAAAACTTTATTTACAGCTATACTTTTTTGTTGGTTTTGTCAATCTGCATTTTGGAGTGCACATAAAATGCTTGAAAGCCAGGTCTTCTCCTGCCCCATTCTCCATCTCATCACAAATCAAGCATTTTTGGCAGCTGAGTCATACTGCCTTCCAGCTGAAATCAAAAGATGTGAGCAGGGTGTGGGTTTAAGGCTGACACTTATTATCTGCAGGTTGTATTATGCAACTTCTGGAGTTCTGGCACCTGAAATTTTAGTCAATTATTACATGATACCTACAAGTACTTACCTTACCCCTCTGAGGTTCCTATTTTTCCTTGAGATTCTTGGAGGAATGGGATTTATAACTGCTGTTTGGTGGAAGATATCTAAACTTCTCTTTCTGAAGAGAGATGATCATCATCCACCCAGCAGTCCACTGGCTAGTGCTCCCAGCTAGGAAGTGAAAGAGATGAGCCCCCTCTGCCCTTTCTTAATTCAAGTTTGCTTTTGAGGGTAAGGACTTGCTCCCAGAGCTTTGGCATCCCCAGCACTAGGCTGAAGGTTAGATGTAACAGTTTTATGACAGTTCCATGTTCAAGTAATTTTGGTGCATTCACTGGAGTTGGACCTGATTCTCCTGAGTTCTTGATGACCACTGACCCAGCTGCACCAGAGCTCGAGTCCCTTTTCTCTTTGCAGGCAGGAGGTTGAACAGCTAAAGCTGAGCTGGGCTTGCCCATTCTGCTGAGGGGCATTTGAGCCTTTACCTGGGAAAGCAAAGTGCTTGTCAAAAGCCAACTTGTGTTTCAAATGGAGCCCTTGCATTCTGAACATCCACATCTGTGGTTTTAACCATTTGGTGCACAACTTCCCACTCCCTTTAACACTTCTCACAGCTTTTCCACGAGAAGTTGTCAAAAATATTAGTGTTATCCCCTTGGGGAACAAAACCATTCCAAACTGTGTTCCACTGAACTTGAGTCCATTTCTGAGCCACTGTGTGTGTATGAGTTACAGGATTTACTGATATTTTAGGAACTTCTATTCATTTCAGTCAATGTAAATATTTTGATGGCTGAAGTATGTGTTTGGGAACTCATTACAGGATTCTTGTATCTTGGTAGTGCAATTATTTTAGTAATGTAAAATTTGGGAAGGATTAATCTTTTAGATGCTGAAAGTAAACAAACCCTGGTGTTCTCAGTAAATGCTCCAACCAGTCTCATAGGCAAAAACTTTTATTTCATCTGAAACAATTATTTATATCTTATAATTATTCTGAGTAACATGCCTAGCAATTTAATTGCTAGTTTGGTTACTCACATGGTGATGTTTCTTTGCATATGTAAATAATCCACCTATTTTAAAATATCATAGCTTAAATAACAGTCTCCCACATGTAGTGTGTACACAATGATTTCAAATTGCTTCCACAAGGATGCGAGGGGGAAGAATAGTTTCTGTAGTAGACATTTCATAAAATGAGTGCACACCAAGCTGAATTTGTATAAGCTGGGGCAGGAATTCAGTATTATGAATTTAGATTGTCCTGGCATTATTCCAGTTTGGGGGGAGAGGACAGAGTCCACAACATCACTGATGTGGCTGTTGTCATTTAAATGCACGAGGTTTCACAGCATACAGCAGGAAAGCAGAGAGCACATTTGAAGATCATACAAAAAATCAACCAGTTTCTGATTAAGAACACTTTTTTTCTTAGTGTCTTCCTTTAAATGTAGAAAATAAATATCAAAGGAATGAACAGCCTTACTATGAAGTTGTTACAAGCTCATTAACTGTGTTTACATCAGAAGTAGATGCATTGAAAGGAAAGGGCTTTTTGCCTGTCAGAAGCAAATGAGCTGAATTACTCAGGTCATGTTTTGCACTCCAGCTGAGTTTACCAGTGCAGGCACTGAGGCTTTAACACATGCAGTTTTGACAATGTCTGCAATTACTTGTGAAAACTATTCTTGCACACGTTGTTTCCCTGAATCTCAGACCTACTTAAAATAGACATAATGCTCTGGCTGATAGCAATTTCAGTATTTTAAAAGTAATAAGGAAGCACTGCTTAGAAGAAGTTATTTGTGCTGTAACTAACAGTTGCTTACAATGTCTCTAGGCACAAAACCCCATCATCTGTCATTAGCAGACAGTGATTTCCAGTGATGATATCAAAGTACTGGTTATTGAAAGGGAGCTCTTGCTATAGTACACTTCCCTGGACCGTGTTCCCTGCTAGGGAGCCTTATCTCAATACTGACTTCACTGTGCACCTAAGGAAACAACTCAAGCAGAGCTCAGGATGAATTGACCAATCTAAAAACTTCAAAAAGCGGCTTCCCAACCTCAATCTCTCTTCCCCCAAACAGTAGCAGCAATAGTGTGGGAAGTGTCCTGAAAGGGTGGAGGTAGGACCATGTTCAGAACAGTAAATTATGTGACAATTGTACAATTATATAACAATAACGACACATTGACACTTTTGCATTTAACAATCAAAGCCCCAGAAGCAAAAGGCTTCTTAAGGAGGGTCAGATAACAGGTGTCCACTATAAACAGCAAGCAAAAGCACTGCCAGCATCTCACCCCATACAGGCTCCACAGCATGTCCCAAAATCTTGAAGAGGCTGAGCAGCTACACTGCAGTGTGGGTGGAAGCAGAAGTTTTGGCACCAGAGAGCAATGCAAGAGTGCAGCTGCCCAAACAGGCGTGGTTTATGCCAGAAGCTCTATCAGGTTCACATTTCCAGCCCTGTCCCCACCTCTGGGGCTGCCAGCTGGCACTGCCGGTGTGAAGGGACCTCCCTCACTGCTCCTCTGCCGGCCTGGGCCTCACAGCAGCCCGTGGGGGGAGCGGGCCTGGCTGCAGCACTGCCCTCCAGGGAAGCTGTTCAGCTCTCCCACCAGGGCGCTCTGGGCGCCAGGAGAAGCAAAGGCAACATCCTGCACTAAGTGCTGCTTCCACGTGGGAGGCTTCAGGTGCAGAATGCCAGAGCTTGGCTCTTCATCCTGTAGAGTGTTCTCAGCACAAGCCAAGGAGCTCAACAGCTATGGAAAATTATTACCCTCCAGTAGCAGTGCTGCAGGGTTGCTGCTTAGATTGTTCAATTCACAATTCCACTTTGAGCCAGGTGGGGAGTTTACAAATCAACTGCCTTGCCTGGAAAGGGGAGAAGCTGCTTCCAGTGCTGATGTGATAAATACATAACTTTTTTCCACTTTGCTCAATCACATTCTCACCTTTTCTTACAACAGCACGTGCTTCCCTGTGTATTATTAAACAGGCATAGTCAGTCATATCCTGGGGAGTAACTGGAAGAGTTTGTGAATCCAGATAAATTAAGGTAAATTTAAAATACTATGAGTGTGAAAGAATGATGGCATTTATTTCCTTTTCTTTGGAGCACTACAATAAAAGCTCCAGCTTCTCATGGCATTCATGGGAAAGGCACCTGTCACCCACTATTACAGCTATGAATATAGCTTACCTAAGAATTATGTAATTAAAAGTTATCCATATAATTTTCAAAAGACTGATGTCACCGTGTCTGAAAAGAGAAATTCTGACACGACTTTTTCAGCCCTCCCAAGGAGCAGAACTGTCATGAAAATTCACACAACTCAGCCTTGTATATAAAGCGTAAGGCTGCAAGTCTGTCATTAGCTCAGCTACTACACTGTTATTCCTGGCCATAATGAATCTATACTTCAGCTGGATTTTTTGGCACTTTGGTGAGAAAGCTCTGGACAGCTGGAAGAGACCTGCTCTATCATTTTTTGTTTTTTTCTTTGTATCAATTTTCCACCTGTGAAGCCCAAAATCCCACCACCAAGTGCAGCTGCAATTCCTGCTACTTTGAAGCCTGCAAGGAGACCAATAGGACCCCCCACCACTCCACCAATGACTGCACCTGCCACAGGCAGAGCTGCCAGCTTGTATTTTGCAGCCTGTAAAGGAAAAAAAAAAAAGTCAGAATTCTTGCCTGTGGCGATGTGCATTTTCCCCTCACTGCTCTTGGCAATGACATGAATGCTCAGTGATAAATAAACTTTACAAATTAGTATTTAAAAAAAGTATGACAGAACATGCTAACACCAATTCAAAATCCTGTCTTGTGTATGCAGTTGTGAACCAAGTCCTTTCACATGGTTCTAGCCACTGTGCACACTGGGTGTTACCTGGTCACCATCCTTAAATCAAATCAGAAACAGGAAATGCTCAGATTTTTCAATGATGGCTCTGACTGCAGCTTTGGGGTTTATTTAGCAACTGACATGGAACAGGATGGCAATGACAGGTTATGATCAGGCTCTTGTTTAATGTTTACGTGATTCTTGTGAGCCAGTCACTGACTGCACTTGTCTTTGCAGGTAAAACAAAACCATCAGAATAGTGTTTCAAAGGCCCCCCCAAATTAAATAATTGTATTTTCTAGCAGCCTGGATGTGATAGAAAATTACAAGAGAGATTGATTTTTTTTTTCCCTGCTACCTGTGGGTCATTTCTTCTTTATTTCCTTAATTGCTGGTTCCCTCAGCATTAAAGACGGCAGATCAATGGGGTTAATACAGAGGGTGGCTGCGAGGCAGAGCACCATTGATTCACCAGCAGGAGCAGATCCCTACCTTCCCCAAGTTTTTGGTTCCCTCTTCAACATTCGCAGCAGCACTGTTGACATGTTCTTCAATCCTGTCAATCTTCTCCTGCTGGGACTAGATGCAAAGGAATTATGAGTGAGGGAACCTGCTGGGAAGCAGCAGTGAGCCAATACACACCATTTTAATGCCTGTAATCAGGGCCCCACAGCAACTTTCATCTGCGCCCGGCAGCCTTAGTGGTGCTCCATGATTAGCATCTGCTAAACTCTGCTGAAGCTACAGACTTCAAAAAAATCTAAACTATTAAGTAATAATATGGGGTGGATATTAAACAATGTCTTGCTGCAGTTAGAGAAAACAACTCAAAATGGTTTCTAAATCTTTCCTATAGATAGAGGAATTCACAGTCCAAAAGGAAAAATAATCCAAAGTAGCCTGTTTTGTTTCCTGCTGAGTCTCACATTCAAAAAAATTCTATAAAGGGCATTTATAAGATCAGTACTAACTCCAATATACAAAGCTGCATCAAAAAATCTAAGAAGTATTTAATGATGACATTATAGAACAATAACTTCAGAAATAGTGACAGCACAGAAAATACACTTGATGTTGCTCTGTATTTTACTGTTTGATTTTACAAAAACATTCCATCCTTTCTCCAAATGCAGTCAGTCAGGTGCCCCTGCAGTCTCTCCCAGGGAACACTGGAGCAGAAGATAAAGGGGTTTGTGGGTTTGTTTGTTCTTATTCTAATCTACGCAGGCTGGTTTATGTCACAAAATAATGAGATGGCTGATATGCAGCTTAAAATAAAAGGCATTCTGAACTTTTTGCCTCTTTCTAAGTCAGAAACTGCTGAGTACACCAGCTCTGGTATTCATCTACAATGCAGTCCACCTTAAATGCTTGCTATTATATCTAATGATGGTTAAGTGCAAAATCCAGTAAGTCCTGGGAACAGGACCTCTTCCTTTAACCTTTACAATACTGAATGAACATTTTTGCAGTTCCTCTCCAGTCTAATGGTTCTTACTTGACTATTTTTGTATAGATGAATCAGCACATACTCAGCAGAAAAGATAAAAGCTAGGTTGTTTATCCCTACTAACCCAACAGCAAGGAGATTAAGAACTCTCCTAGATGAGAATTGTGCATTTAAATTCCCCATGGCACAGCAAGAACTAACATTGGGAACCAACATTTTGGCAATGCGGTGAGAGCAGAGAAAGAGCATGATAACAGTGAGGATTTTTCTAGCGCTCCTGATTGAGTGAGAAACAATACCTGACAAACACACACCCTGTGCAGTAAGAGCTGTCACCACCATTACAATTAGAAATTGTAAAAACTAATAGGACCTGGGTAGAAGTCCGCAATCGACACAGCAGAGCTTCTGCTGAGGTTCAGCTGGTGCACTGGCAGGAACATTGTAGCTGCTTCAGTGACAAGAATTTGGGAGCAACTCCCAGCACTAGTGCTGAAAGAGGAGACTGCTGCCTCCTCAAAGTGTCACCTTGGCAGAGCCTGAATCACAGGAGAGATACATCCTCAGCATTTTTGTCCCCACCCAACCCCACCTAGGAGTTACCCCTGTTTTTGTGGGAGACTCTGTAGGACAGAATGCAGAATTAATACTTACACAGACTAAGAGAGAAAACTCAGTCACCAACTGGCTGAGCTCAACCAAGTCCTGCAAATAATAAAAAAAAGTTATTCTGTGATAGTTGCTAAAACAATGAGCACCAACATGGCAGAGAGGGAGTTCCAACATACCCCTTCTAAACTTTCCCAGGACTCAGCTGCATTTTCTTCCTGAGGTATTTCCGGAAGGCGGGAGTAGATCTGGATCAAACTTTGGGAGCCATCCTTTACTTCTGTGTTATATAAAGTTTCTGAATGAGAAATATGATGTTTATTAATAAGTGCACTGAACCAGGATGCAGGTAGTGTGCAGAATTTCTCGCTCCTGAAGTTTCTCAAGGATAAGCTGATACCTAACCTGATTCAAGCCAAGCAGCAGCCCTAAAAATGATCATATAGGGAGATGCCTTACAGCACTACACAGTTTCTTAAAAGGATGTTATTGACAAAGGAATAGATTCATTTCTATCAGCACATTTTCACAACCAGTCCTGAAATGATACTAAATTATACTCCTGAATTCAAGGTCATTTAATTCATTTTGTATTGACCAGGCTGAGAAAACCGGGCTTGGGACAAAAACTTTTCATTTACGAACAACACATAAAAACACTGTGCTCCCAAAACTGAACAGACAGTTACTCATTTTATGATTGATTATTATGCTACTGGTTTGATTTTCAGCCATTGAGAACTAAAAGATGCTGGAGGAAAAAGCTTTCAAAGCAAAAGCAGTGAAACCCAAGTAATGTGGTAGCCAGCATTCCAAGCTGGATCATTTGAGTAAATGGTACTGTGAGGATGGCAGACATTTGCAGCTCAGTGCTGTACACGAGATATTCTCAAGTGTGTTCCTTCCTAAATCACCTGGACTGAATGCAGAAGGCATTTGGACAAAGTATGGTGTTACAAACGGGGAATGACAGACAGTGAGTGGCACTGGGGACAGCAGATACATGAACGGGCTCACACCGCCCTTCTCCAGTCACTCCAGAGCCACTGCAGAGCTCATGGACATGCCGGTAATTGTGGACAACAAATTGAGGGGCAATAAAGAAAAATTACAAACAAGTCTGGCTTGTCATACAAGGACTCAGGAAGAGCTTGGGGGTCTGAAAGGCTGGAGAAGGTGTACATGTAAACACAGTGCAAAGATCATCTCAAGTCCAACAGCTTCAATTTCTGAAGGGAGATCGCTCCTTCAGCAGGACACTGGTGTTCCCTTCCTTGGGAAGGCAGTCCCAAGAGAAAGCTTATTATGGGGAAAGCTGGTTAGATACATCTAACAATACTAAAGTGTAAATATTGTATTAAAATCTTTAGATACAACAATTGTTCCAAGGTATGATAATAATATTATATAACTGTTACAACAACAGATATGTCCAATGGAAAACAAATAAATATATTCTTTAAAAAAAATCAGTGCATGCTTATTCATGGAATTAATTTAAGATAAAATAAAAATGATACATTTTCATAACATTTGTCCATTTCTCAACATTTTTATCCCAATATCTCAAAATAGATGAAGGACCCAATCTTCCTACTCTCAGCTCAGTAGAAATCTAACATGAATGAAACTGATATTTACACATAATTACTAAATGAGCAGAGTAACAAGAATGCACTAAGCAATTTGGGGGCTTGACTTGGGCTTGTTTTTCTTTTTAAGTATTTCTGCCCCTTTTCCTTTAAGAATCCAGACACAGAAGGCACTTCATGTTCTACAATCATCACCTGTTCTTCCTGAACATATTTTTGATTAATAACCTCAGATTAATTAATGTTGTATACTCAGTTCTAAAATATTCCTTTCCCCTTTCAATATAATTAATTATATATCCAAACATGTGCATTTTTTGAGAAAACTGTTCTGCCACATACTCTGGCATTTATCACGGGTTTTGAGGGTTTTATTTAATTTCAATCTTACACAATCCTATTTCAAAATAAAGTTTCTTCTGCCCAGAAAGATGTACTCTTCCCTAATCAACCACATGCATGCTAAATTGATTAAAATGAAAGTATTCATAATTCAAAAGCAAAATAAAAATCTCATTTAGCAAAGCTGCCTCGTCCCAAGACCTTGCTCTGTCTGGTCTGTTCCTAACAATCTATGCCGACCTACTGTAGAAAAGCATATCCTTGAAAGAGTTGTAAAACCAAGGTTTTGTATGGCACACATTCCAAAGAAATTAAAACTGTAAGTAGGTTTACATGTTATCATTTTGTAGTAACTAAAAATCAGTGAGAAAAAATTCCACATGAAAATTCTTTATTCATTTTAAGGTAAAGAACAGGAAGGGCAAGAGGTGGTCACATTTGGGCTGAGAGTATGAGTAAAAAATTTATATTCACTACTTCACTTTTTATCAAGTCTAACCAATTTTAATAGAATTGAGAATGGAAGTGACTCTACCAGTTCATTTATACAGCATCTCCACAGAAATACAATAACACAAAACACCTCTGCAGATTTCACAGAGGAGCCTTACACCTCATTACACTCGAGATAAAAATCTAATGCTCTGGAAGATCCAATATGTTGCTTAAAAGATTTTAGTAATTTTAAGAGTGGAGTATCACCTTTTGTTAATATTTGTTTAATATGCAATTAAATTCCATTTCTATTGGCCCTCAGTTGAGGATGGTGAATGGGGGAAGGGACTGGATCATATCACTGACATGCCTTCTAAATGGGAGATTTGAATTTGTAAACTCCTTCCTTCTCTAGCAGATGGGAAGCAACATGCTATAAAGAACGGGCATGTATTGAACTTCCTTTGATTAAGATCAACAGCCAAGATTTGCTTTCAGGACTGCAGCCTCTAAGCACAAAGGAATAGGCAATACACTGTGGCTGGGTTAGCAATTCAACAGGGCTGCTTGCACAGGCAGGCAAACTTGAAAAAAAAAACTATTTTATTGTATTTAGTTGTCTGCCTGTCTGTTTCACTTTAAATGGGGTGAATTATTTCCACATTCCTGAGCAGACTTGCAGATGCCTGTCATTCCTATAATATTTTTTCTTTTCTTCTCATCTTCTTCATTCTAATAAGTTTATTTGTTCTTCTGAAGTGCTGTTATTCTCAATATCCTCTGTAGTTCAAAGGTATTTCAGATTTCAGAAACAGTCTTGTACTTTGAAATTAAACTGTAGTTCCCATTTGCTACCTATTTGTAATTGTGTACAAAACAGAAGCAGTAAGCCAGAACAAAGCCTTTCCAATGAAATATTGGAATGAACTGAGAACAACCGCAGAAAGTCACCAACAGAAGAGGTATCTTAAATTTAGTTCTGATCATAACAGAGAAGAGCACACAAAGAGACTGAAAGTAATGGCCAATATATATGAAGGGAATCACTGAATATCAAAGACAATGAGCTCTCCACAAGAGAAGTCAACAAATTGGGTAAAACTATTAATGGAAATTACGTGGAAGAAGTTCCTAAAAGATAAAGGACTGCAGGAGTGCTGGCAGACACTAAAAACAGGCTGTGCTGAAGAGGACATCAAATTGTCCTGATGCAGAGGAAGAAGTTTATGGCTTCAACAAGAGCTCGTCAATGCCCTGGATGTCAAGAATTTGACACATGAGTACAAGTTAACATATAAGAATGGAAAGTTAATATCAGGAAGACCAGGGCATAAATATATTGCAACTACCAAGAGGCATAAATGGTAGCAAGGAAGTTCCTGTGAATGTTTTTGAAGTTAGAGGAAGACCAAGGATGTGGAAGTTCATTGCCAGATAAAAAGGTGGCTTTAAGCAGGTATTTGATGCAATTAATTTAAATAAGAAAGAAAGAGAGAGGCTGAAACATAAAGAAAACAGGTTAAAAATATTTGGATGAGCTAGGCCTATTTGGGGTCCGAAGGTTTGATGAAATTCACTCTAGAGCATTTTTAAAAAACAGCCTTTGAAATTTCATGCATATTTTTGAGAACTTGAATAAGCTGGTCCCAGAGGACTGCAAGAGAAGAGACTTTGAAATCCATGAAGATATTAGAACAAACTACTGAACATCTAACTACAACATGTTGAAGGTGTTGAAGAGGCTGAGATTTTTACATCAGAAGCCGATTCAGTTTATTCTGCTGGCCTTGTAAGAGAGAAGTTTTTACAATGGGGGTGGTGAGGCACTGCCACAGGCTGCCCAGAGAAGCTGTGGATGCCCCCATCCCTGGAAGAGTTCAAGGCCAGGTTGGATCTGAGCAGCCTGGTCTGTTGGAGGTGTCCCTGTCCATGGCAGGAAGTTTGGATCTAGATGATGGTCCAAGGGTCCCTTCTAACCCAAGAAGGGATTGTGTCTGTTTTATCTCCATGTTCACAAGGTTTTCTGATACTACTGCATATGACATTCTTGAAAGCAAGCCCGGTTGTCAATTCTCTTTTTCTCCCTGCTCAACCACGAGGCTCACTGGCTTGTTAATCACACTTGAAAAGAGTTCTTGTAGTTCTGCATGCAGCAACAAGAGTGGTCATGAAATCAAATCTGACAGCAGGTTCTTCTACAGTGCTACTGCCTGAGAATGCTCTTTCAATTTTAGGACACATGAAATGCTCAGATCATTTTAAGTAATACTGCCACTGCAGCAATCAAATTACAGATATGGGAAAGGTTTATTCCTGATGGAACCAATCTTCTCACAGATCATCAGGAGAGAGCACTGGCCAGCACCAGGGCATAACAGAGACTTCTCCTGAAGACAGAATGGTAGAACAAAGATCAAAAGATATTTTATACAGAAAGGATGGAAGACCAGCAAACAGATCTGATTTCTCGCATGTCACAGTGTGTTTTCAAAATCCTTTATTTAAATGGATTTATATTCCTTTCTTGTCAGTTACCAAGATAAAATGTTAAAGGAGGAGATGTTCTTCCTTACCTAGGAACTTGCTTCTCTTTTTCCATATATTTCATCAATACTGTATTACACTGTCTATCATATAAAAATCTTCCTGGTATTTCTTCAATTCAATGAAAATGACTAAAATGATTACTTGCACACAATCAAGTGATTTGCAAGAGGGACAAAAGAAGCCAAGCTACCTTGAAACATAAATGAAAGTATTCTGCTTCTATGAACAGTCCACTATTTCAAGATCCAGGAGTCCAGGACCTTTGCCACAGAAAGCCATAGATATTTAATTTTTTAAGGTATTTAAGCATTTTCTGCTTATCAAAATTCAGTCACAGGGCTGGTAAAAGTGTGGTGTAAGGAAAGAGATCTACTTCTTCATTAACAATACTCTTCAACTGAAATCTTATTTGTTTACTTCATTTATATATGGTCAGCAAAACTGCATACTGGATACAACGACAGAGATACAATAAATGCAGAAATTAAATTCTACTACCTTCTCCTAGAGTTGCAGATCTGGTTAAAGAGGCATCCTCCTGTCCTTTGAGTTGCCTTTTAAGTTCTTCTGCAGATTCAGAATGCAGCTGCAGGAAGTCCTTAATGGCAACTGAAGCTTCCTCTTTAATGGGATTTATCATTCTCTGCAGAACTGGGATGTCTTCCTGCCGCACTCGCAAACACAACTTCTCCATCTCTCGCATGTTGGCACGGAGCTGCTGCAAGAGCATTAAGAGTTATTTTGTAGCTGACTGTGAAAACACCAGATGCCTTCAGTGCCTGGGAAGCACCTACTATCTTTATAATCAAGGGAGAAACACTTTTGAAGCCATCACCACCACTATTTTGAATTTTTCTGGCTGTCGTTTTTGTACTTTATCCACTTCTCCAAGTCAGTTTGTTTTATTTTGGGTTTCAATAAAGTATTTAACTGAACTTTAAATTAATTCATTGTGTAATCGCTCAAGTTATTTCTGTTTCTCTGGTCAATTTAGGTCTTTGCCAAAATATTTACACAAGTTGCAACAAGTTGCAATAATATCTGAATAAAGTAAGTGAGTGCTTTTAAAAATTTGCTTTTTTTATAATAATAAGCGACTATGGTGATCACAGGACCTCACGATATCGTCATTCATAACCCCCAACTACCCCAAATCTTTCATTTTGTGAAGACAATTTCAGGGACAAAGATTACTTTTTTCTTTTATTCTTTTTTTCAGATGAACAACAAATACACTTGTTTGATTGGAATATCAAATGTAATAAAACATGTAAATACTTCTTTAGTTACAAGCCTTCTGAGGAGATATAAACTGTTCACAACTAGCAAGAACTGTATGTGTACAGGCCTTTCACATGAGATAAATTCTTTCTGCATTAAAAATAAAGGGGCTTTTAATTGCCTGGGCTTTAAAAATGCAGACAAATTTTCTTTTCCTACAAATGAAAGGATGAAATTTACAGTTTAAATTACACCACTTACTGTTTTAGGACAGAGTTTTTATCTAATTATAAAAAAAAAAAAAAAAGATAAAAATATATTATCTGCACTACTTTACAGTGACACAATAAATTCTATTCTTTGTCGCTTATTTACCAATTAATTTGAATACTCTTCTCACAACAGAGCAAGAGAATGGATCGACACCAATGAGTGGTTAGAAATAGAAAGATTTTCTTCCAGAATACAAACCAGGTACAGATAACGCCTTAGAGAGGTAAAATTGACTATCTGGAAAAGCAGGATCTAGATGGAACTAATTTTATTTATATACACTAGTGGAATTAATTGCTTTTAGTATCAATAAAAAAATAGTAGAAAATATAATTAGAGAAGAAGGAAGGAAATTATTCAACAACCTGTTGCACAAGCTTCCAAAGAAAGAACTATTGATTCATTAAAATCATGTGGCAAATTACTAAGATTAGATTAGATTATACTGTATGCTTAAATTAAGAGTGCTATTAGCCAAATTAGGCTGCATTATTCAAGACTAACCTCAGGTAAAACCACTGATTGACAATTAAAAGAAAGAGAGACAAAAAAAAAATCCCAACTGTGGAAGACACTGAGCTGAATTAGAAACATGGTAGCCAGGAACTTTCCTCATCCATTCCTCATTTCAGCCTACCTCCTGCTTCCTGGTATCTCCCCCCAAGTGAGCCCCTATGTGCCCAGAAAAAGAGAACGTCACCACTTTCATACTGCACCACGTGCCAAAATTCTTGGTTTATAGAATCTTGGAATTTCATTGAAGTAACAAAATGGGGACTATCAAAACACAATACTCAATCATCTAATTTCTAGAACTATATGGAAGGGAATGAGGTTGACCATGCTGTTTTATTTCAGTAAAGAAAATTATTATTATTATCCTGTATTTGGCAACAATGGAGACAAAAAAAATAAAAGAGGAATGTCAAATAAACAAAAACTAGTGAAACAGTGACAACAATGAGTTTGGGGTGAGATAACAATGGTTCCACAGTAGCTCCTTTTCCTTTTAAATCCTGAACAGAGGCTTAAAGACGTATGAAGAACTCACCCTAAAGAATGATCCAGATAATAAATAATATATAAATAAATAATAAATAAAACAGATCCTCACTTCCACTGCTCATTATTACCTTGCTAATCAAAGAGAAATATTTCTAAGCAAGAAGATGGAGGAATCAGATGATGATATTAGCCTATTTAGTGAAATTTAATTTTAGTAGCTCTTCCTTTGTGGTTTTGAAGGGAGGACTTGTGTTCCACTTACTGTCAATTAAACAGAAGGTGAATGGATTCAGCCTAGCAGGAAAGTTCAGCCCTGCTGTGAGGAGTCACATCCCAGGAGCTCACCAGGGTGTAACATCACAAATGTTATGGATATGCAAATGACTGTGACTTCTTCTCATAATAATTTTAATGGCACTGAGCTTAATTTCTAGGTAGAGCATGAAAGTGTATCACTTTCATCTCAACTGTTTGCACTTTTAAAACCAAGATTATTTAGCAAGGAAGGTAATAAAAAATTCTCTTTTCATTTGTGGAGACTTCTGAGTTTTGCACTCTCCAAATTCAATCCAAAAGACACAAAATTTTTCTTTATAACAATTGTAATTTTGGTCCATTAACTTCCAAAATCAAACAAGAATCTTTGTTTCAAATGGCTTTCTCACAAAAACTGTAGGAAAACAGAACTGGTGAAAACCTTGGGAAGTTATCCCGTCAATGCATGATCCACTGTCCCTATATTATTTCTGTCAGTTGTTTATCTAATCTGGTCTTAAAACAACTTCTGCATGAAGAACTACAACCTTCTTCATACCTCACTGCCAGAATTCAGTATACTATAGCATTTCCTTATGTCTAACAGAAATCTCTGGCCTCAGCTTAAGCCAGGTATTTCTAACCCTCTCTGTGCAAAACAGGGTAAGACAAGCCCTGTCCTCTTTGCAACCATCCTCTCTCGCTTGCAGACAGGCAGCACAATGCTCTTGGACGCTCTTTGGGCAAAGTAAGTGATTTCTTGATCTTTACCAGAAGTCCTGCTCTCTCAATTTCTGACTGCATTCAGTGGTCACTCCCTATTCATTTCACACCTTCCTTGGAAGTGTGGTGCCCAAACTGGACTATTCTACCTGGGATCCTATTACTGCTGACTGAAGAGACTGTGGGAGAGACCACACTGACTGCCCTCCTGTTTATACATCTCACTAAGTTATCTGGCTTTTCTGGACCACGACTACACAATCAGTTAGTTCACTTCTACTCCATGTCCCTCGAGTTTTAAAAAATTCTTGGCCTAGGTCAAAGGAACTCTGAGTTTAAGGATATCTTTACCCTGCAGATGGCCACAGGCTGCAATAATGCTCTGATTTTACATGATCCTTCACTGAAACCACAAAGAACCTCCTGCAGAAATGAAGTTTTCTACACTACTCCTCATGCCCTCACAGCATATCTACACAGTATGCCAGAGAGGATCATTTTAGAAATGTTACAGAAGACCTGAGCCATACAACACCTTGAGCCAACAACCTGAGCTTTGAAGATTTATGCAAAAAAGAGCTGATCAGAAACCGCCTTTAACTTGTAAACCATTTTCAGCTGAACTAGAAACCATAAAACTGAAAAAGAAAAAATAGATTAACATTTTTCAAGCAGCTTTCCAGGTTAGAGTAATACAGTGGAGAGACTATGTCAGCCTAAATATGCTTTGCAGAACAGAGTCTCTTTTTGTGGGCTGAATACAGACTAAAGCCAGACTGTTCATCCACTGCATTTTTTTTTTTTTGTTTAATATCTTATTTCCTCTCTAGTACCTGTGGCTTTTCTCTTCCTCTCACCACCAAAATGATCAGGGCAGTCCTTAGATGTTACAACAAAATACTGCCATTTCACTGAAATTAGCTTAAACCTTGAAGTAATTAATTGTGTGGTACAGTCAGCATGTATGCAGACAAAGCCTAGAAAACTGCAAATTCATGGATTGTCCCTAAAAATGAAAATATACAAGAGCACGTTCAGAAAAACTAATACATGATACACAAGAGCTATTTTCTCAATATTTTTGAAAGGGTCACTTCCTGCCCTGTGCAAGATTTATCTGTTTTCTTCACCTTCCTTTATAGAAGTTTTTAATGTGTCACCCAGTCACTTGAAGGCAGAGCAACAGATTTACATTCATCTATACTTCTATTATAATTTTGACCATCATCAAAATTACAACAGAAGTAATTATTCTGGGTAAACTGAAAATTCAGAAAAATGGCTAATTATGTGCACATGGATTAAATGTAGAATGGCTGTGCATATATTTGTCTAAAACCTGTGGCGGATGCCTTGGGTTAATATTGACTTAGGGATTCCTAATGTATTTTTACAACATCTAATTTTGAGAGCAAAGTGTGTGCTGCAGAGAACATTTGGTATCACAATAATGAATCTGATTTCTTTGCAAACAAACAGATCACAAGTCCATCAGTAAACATTTAAACAGCTTACGGCAAACACATTCTACATGTCATATAATTTATTATCGAGTACTCCAGACTCCTAACTATTTAATTAAAACAAAGAGCCAGTCTGCTCTTCTTGCACGGACCCAGATACTTATTCTGCTCTCTGGGTATCAGAATGTGAACCACTTTAATGCATCTAGATCTGTATCCAGAGTTAGAAGCAATAAGCATTAAATAAAACCTAAGAAAATTTACTTTGACTGTAAAAACAGCAAGCTTTAGATTCAAGACAAATACAAATGTTTCTTGAGAAATATAAGCAGTTTTCTTATTAAAACACTTAAAAGATCTAAAAATAACATCTTAAACACAATTATTTTTTCTGTAATTATTGACAGATTTTTGTCTTGCTAAATAAATGATACTGGTAACTTAAAGTTACAAGAGAAGCCTTTCCCACAACTCAGATATGAAAACAGATTAGAGAACAGACATAAGCAAATACATACTTACTACACCACACCTGTTAAAATGACATTGTTTTAACAGAACTTCCACCTTTGGAAGCCTCTTTGAATATGAAGAATAAACTTGCATTAAAATTTCAAAAGTACTTGGTGAAAAATCAAAATATATTCAAACCTCCAATGAGCAGGAATATTAACTGGATTTTACGTGTCACATCATATCACCTATACTAAAGAAAAAGTATAGGTGATATTCTATTCTTCAAAAAGATGTAACTCCAGCTCTGCCTACTATCTAAGTCTGTTGTTCAGTCAGGATTAAGTTCTTCTTTCTGAGGTGAACCGGTTTTGGTGGTGTTGGTTTTTTTTCATTTTTAGTTTGTTCTAATTTCCCACAGAGTCAGTAAGACACTGAACCAAACATGGGAATTCACAGCATTAGAATTGTGAGCAATGGTTTATGACTAGGCCACCTGTGCTGGCAAATCCTGCTTGTCCACGAGCAGTGTAGGTCATTTACAGTAGCAAAGACAGGTCCCTCCTCTGAACCACACCTGTGAAACCCACACAAGATGCCTCTCCTGGCCAACACACATCTGTCCCCAGAACACTGGCATGCAGCTGTTACAGACACCAGATGCTACATCTGCCTCAGCAAACTTTGTGCTGCAGATGTGGTCCCTGATGTTGTGGTCCTTCTGTACTGATAAAGAACTTTGCCTGTGTGCTATTTAGCTGATGTTTGACTGAGTTTCTGCATCATTTTCATCAAGGCATTGTGTATTTTTAGAAGCAGTGTATGGTTCCCTGTGTGCTGAGTTATGGATGATGATGGGTGAAGTCACTGAAATGATGCCTGTGCTGTCAAATGTGCTGGTATTTCCTCCTTGATGATATCATGTACCTAACAACAGATGTGCACACCAAACTAGTAGTCCAGATGTTCTCTGTCTGAAATCATGCTTTAAAATTAGCAGTATCCCTTATTGCAAGAGCTGTCTTCTAATTTAATAACATAAGAGGAAAGTTTGCAAAAGATCACAGTCTCCAAACTTTTGCTTTTTCAAGAACACAGAAACATTTCTGACTGTTTTTGCCTCATAGGACACAATTAGGAGATCCCTAACTTTTAAATGAAGTGAAACAAAACTGTGTGCTTGCTTGTCAAACCCACCTGTGAAGTGTATGTCTCTCTGAAGGCTCACCCCTGAGGTGACCAGAACTGTCTGTAATTGAACCCCATCAGCAGCACAGCCACTTTCATATCCTTACCTGAACCGTTCGTCCTGCGTTGATGTGCTCTTCGTGCAGTCTGTCCCAGAGCCTGCATCTCTGATACTAAAACAGAGGAAAAGGACTCCTCAGAATTGCTATTTTTACCAACTGGCAATGCAGAAAAAAAGCCACCTTTGGTAAATTATCACTTTAATTTTCCAAAACTGAAAGGTGAGTCATAAACAGTTCCACTGCAAAATTAGAGAGGTAAATAGCAATGTATTTTGTGAAAAATTTTGTACAATATATTTTACTGAATTACAGACAACCAGGGTTTCAGTATCAGTTTTTAACATCCAAGTGATATTGCATCCTGACACTGCTGTGGCATAAATCACTTGGTGGGCAGTAGAACAAACGGCAGAAGAAGAAGAAAGGTGTGGAATAGTGGATAAACAGTACTGGTCATACAGGACAATGAGGTATCTGATACTACTGACATGGAAAATGGCATTCATTACACAATGCTGCTGTCTACATTTACACTGAACATTTCTATTTAGTTACAAACACAGCTGGAAGAACCATCAGGCCAGATCTGGCACCTCCATGAGGCTCCACTAACTTTAGTGGGAAACTATCCATACAGTACTTCCCATGGGACAGAGACCAGACCAACTATTACATTAGCAGAGAGCAAGTTTAGCAAAAGAACTGCATATTATCACATATCAACCCTTCCATCAATCAAACAAATCAGTGCCTGCTACAGGCAGTTGACACAAATAATATAGAGACTTCAGCATGAAAAAGAGTAATAAAGTAATAGAAGTAGAAGCTGTGATTTCTGGAATGTGTGCTGAAACTATCAAAGAATGTATTTACCACATTGGATATTAGAATATTTATTTAATTATTTAGATAAAAAGGCAAAATATTTACCATGATTTCTAAGGTATTTTTATGTAAAATCTAATTCTTCAATTTCTTAATAACCTTTGTTACCAATAAAAAACTTTATCTATAGCCTCTATCTTTCCATAACTATTTTCATAATTTTAGATACCACAGCAATAAGGATCATAAGTTACTCAGCTTCCTAAAATACAAGGAGAAATCTAAAGTTATTTTCAAAGCAAAAAGTTCTTTCATGTTAGGACTTTGTAGTGCTATGGAAGACAAAAGGTTTAGTGTTCAACAAAGTCAGATTAACGTCATTCTTCCAGGAAACAGAGTAATAATAACATCTGAATAAATTGCTATGCCATTAAAATTACTGACAGTGTTCTTTAAAATAAAATGGACAGAAAGTACTGTATCAACAGTAGATCTTCAAATTTAATCAAAAAGTACTGAAACAGGAATTTCTGAGGTTCTAGGGAAAAATCACCTATTTGACTTCAGCTGACTGTAGTACATTGTCCAAACAACTAATAATAAAAAATCCTGTTACCAGTTAAGAAAAATTCCTCAGGAAACCTTTACTGCTCTTCATAATTTCTTCTAGAGATGCTCAGCACTTTCATCTGCTTAAAATATTGTTCTATTACTTTGCTTCAAAATTCAGAACATGCTAGTGGCGAGCCCAAAGAATTCAATGACTTAACACACTGACATTCACGCGGTCAGAGAATTCCTCCTTGTTGACTTCTCTCTGTCATGCCACACAAAGTATGCCACACTCCTGGACAGTGTTCACCCTGGGGCCTCGAGGATACTAAAGCTTGAGAAGAGATGGTATTGACATTATTTCTTGTGGAAACTGGGGCTGTTCAGCCTGGAGCAGAGAAAGTTGTGTGGAGACCTCACTGCAGCCCTCCAGTATCTGAAGGGGGCCTACCAGAAAGCCAGAGAAGGAAACTTCACCAGGAGCTGTAGTGACAGGACAAGGAGCAATGGGCACAAATTGCAAGGGGGGAAATTTAGGGTAGAGATTAGGAAGGAATTTTTTACTCTGAGGAAGTTGCCTGGGAAGGTCATGGATGCCCCATCCCCAGCAGTGTTCAAAGCCTTGGGCCTAGTGGAAGGTGCTCCTGCCCATGGCAGTGGGGCTGGGACTGGATGATCTCTGAGGTCCATTCCAACCCCTTAACATTCTATGATCTTGTCCTGAATAAATACACATAAAACTAAGGGAAGTCCAGGAAGTAAAAACAGCTATGGTATCCTAACCTCTCATGTCAGGTCCAGGGAGATCCATAAAAATGGTCCAAGGGCTGGAACAGCTCTCCTGTGAAGAAAGGCTGAGAAAGCTGGGATTGTTCAGCTTGGAGAAGGCTCTTGAGAGACCCTATTGCAGCCTTTCCATAAAGAAAGAGGGCTTAGGAGAAAGACAAAGACTTTTTACTAAGGCTGGCAGTGACTGCATAAGGGGCAATGATTTTAAATGTTTATAGGGTAAGCTGAGACTAGACATAAGAATTTTTTTTTCTGATGGGGCTGGTGAGGAAGTAGAAGAGGTTGCCCAGAGAAGTTGTGAATGCCCCAGGCCTGGAAGGCCTAGGTTGGATGGGCTTTGAGCAACCTGATGTAATGAAATGTGCTCCCACCCCATGGCGGGGGTTGGACTAGATGATCTTGAAAGTTTTTCTTCCAACCCAAATCACTCTATTGTCCCATATTTCTGTGCTATTTAATCATAATTGTGCTACAGCCAAATAGTTTGTATTCCACAACAAAAATATAAAATATTAGGTTACTCTCAGACACTCAGGAAATTAATCTCTTTTGCTCTATGAATATTCTCTTGAGAGCCCTCTTTAGAAAGAAACTTTCATGCTTCTGCTTTGGATCCCTTCCACCTCTCCTTGAAAGTATCCAGTGGACATGGAGAGAACTCAGAAGTTGGTCATAATATCTCCTGCTAAAAGCCCTTCAATAAATGTCTAACACAAACATCCACACTCGGATAAGACTGCAGGATACCCTCATTTCTCATTTTGTGTCACCTTGACATATATTCCCACCACAACAATGGTTCCTAGCCAAAGGTAAAAAGTGTTTCACACAGTATCTTTTAAAACAGGTACAAGAAATGAAACTGAAACAATGAAATGAAAATTTTCTCTCTTGAAAGCAAGAGAGAGTGTCTTACAGCACTTTTTTTTTGAAAGGATTGTTGCATATCACCAACAAAGCCTAGGGCAGTAAGCCAAACAAAATCTCCACCTTCCTGTACTACCAAGTACAGGAAGTGTAGTACCAATGTACAGCCAAGTCAATTGCTGCTATCTAACAGAGACTTAGAGACATCTGTACCTCTTTTGGATACACATGAATTTTATTCCCTCTTGGAGTGAAAGGCCATCTAATCCATGGAATGTGCTATAGAAAACAAGAATTTTCATAGGGAAAACATGGAAAAAGAAGAATTACAGAGAACTTATTTCTTAAGGCTATAACTTTTAAGTCTTCCAAAATGGTCATATAGAAAGTTGGACTCTCATATAGTTGAGAAGCAATGATGATGAATTTATGGTAGCCACTTCCTCTGGAAAGGTGTATTCAAGGTCAAATTTCATTATATATTGATTTTATAGTTTCTTCAAACAGTGATTTAGAAGATTAATTGTTTGGACTATCTCTGGAACCTAAGGTTTAAATCAATATTCATGAAATGAGGTTAGAGATATTGGCTTCATCATAAGTAAATAATGTTGCTGCTCTAAGCAATTGGACATAATTAGTGATTTTTGCTTAAAAGTAGCCTGTAAAATAAACAGAATCAAATTCTATAAAATTATCCTTTTACCTCTAGGGATGTTTGGTTTGCATGGCTGAAAGTTAATTTTACAAAAACTATTGAAGAGAAAATCATCATGACAGCTCACAAAAGTACTGTAACACATTCATTATGGCTAAAATTAATGTAAAATATATAATATGTGAACTATCATACAAGTATTTCAACCAAACTACTGCTAACATTGGTGTTTACTATAAATGTAAAGGCCTTTGTGCACACAATTACAAATACAGAACTTTCATCTTTAGCCAAATTTGAATCAAAGCTTTTTGTCATCAATCTCTCATCAAAAACTCTACATAATCTTTCAGTGAGACTGCTTCTATACTGCAAAAATAACTACATTAGTAAAAAGTGAACACTAACCTTCTCAATATTTATTTGGTGTTTTCTTAACCTTTCCAAATCTGTTGGAATTGCCACTTTAATGAATTTCTGAATTGCAGGTTCGATTCGGCGGAGTTTAACTTTTTCCTCATCTTCAGACATCCTAAAAGCAGCTTTCAAGTCAACAGCTGTCCAATATACCTTCACCAAGGCAAAAACCCCTAAAAACCAAACAAAATTAAACAAGAAAGTTAAACCTGAATCACTTTTTAAAGAAATCAAAATAAGATAAATCTGTCTTTCTGATAACCATGTATCCCCCAAAACCAAATTAAGCAGTATTAATATGTGGATGTTTGGATTTAAATGTATTATCTTTACTTATTTGCAGGCTTTGGGGATAATTTTTCATAAAACTTAACACTAACAAGAAGAAAAAAAGCAGCTAAGTAATTAAGGCAGAGGCAAATGTTTTACAGCATAATGATCCATAAAAAGGTTTGGAAAAAACCTTCCAATTAGATGCTTTGATCGACCAGAATTCACATATTGCCAATTCTCATTCAGAATCATCCTAAAATTCGTAAAACATGTCCTGAAAGCACACCAGAATATAATTAATTTTTGGAATTCCATTTCCTGGAAATGTTAAGAGCTCCTGAATGAAGATTTGCACTCCAAATTGCATATGTTCCCTGCTGACAATGACTAACTAAGGCATCACCTAACGAGGGGTATAAATAGGCTGCTGAAATATTTGTAGGACCAGTAGATACATAAACACCCTGAATTCTGTTCCCTGCATGGTGCAAAATATAATTTTTGAGTTTCATTCTCTGAAAGTGAGATGTGCAGTATTGTATGCAATAACATTTATTGGGTGACCTCACACTTTTCAGGTTGCAAAAATAACTTTATACCTTTTGCATTGATTCACTCTTTCCACCATTCCAAAAACAGCAGTTTAAATGCAAGCTGATAAAAAATACATTCTATTATACCTTGATCACTACAGTCCCTAACTTTTGAAAGAGGCACTCATAGATCACAGTTGAACTCTATTCTGAGTCTAGAACTGATTTTTTTTTTTATAATGTCCAAAAGATAAGAAGCATCATACTCCAAACTGCAGTACTTCCTCCTCAAACAGACATTTAATTTCCTGGCAGCTTATACACTAATCCATGAGTTTATGAGCTAGAATTAATTAAAAATTGGTTCCCTAAAGATATTTAATAGCCATGTCATGCTTTTCCTTAATACAGAATCATCTTGAAGAAGTGTTGATGCAAATTCTTTAAATGTGTAACACAACATGAACTCCCAGAAACACACAGCCCATTCTGGCTTAGAAGAAATACAGCAGAGACTAAGTTAAATTAACCATAACTTTGTCCTTAACCTTTCATGACATCTGGAGATTGATGAGAGTCAAAACTGATAGTTTAGATGACTTACAATCTGGAGCACTGTGAAAGCACAGTTGATGTAAACAATGGCCATGTGCCTTGGGTAGATGATCTGAATTCTGAATTTTGAAGACTTGGCTGCATGCAGAGCTCTGGCTAATAATTTTCTTCTCATTAAGAATTTCCTGACAGTAAAGTAACTTCCATGACAGTGTCTACTCTAAAGACACTGCTGCCTAAAATTCACTGTGTAACAAATTTGAAAAACTAAGAAAGAAATATAAAAACTCCTTACATTCTCATCAGGTCTCCTGATTAATTTTCTTTCAAATAGTATAGTAGCTTCTGCAACAAAAATTCTAAGCCATAAATTATCAATGCAATGTCTTCCTTTTTTTTTAACATTCATAAAATATTAACGTTACATAAATAAAATTGATGTTATGCATTTCTGCTTGTTGCTGATGCAACTTTAAGGAAACCTTCCATACTTTACATGACTTGTTCTCCTAAGCATGACTTTAACAACTGATTTCTGCAGCAATAATGCCTGTTCTTTCAGCAATCACAGAGTAACAGGACAGTTTAGGTTGGCAGGGATTTTCACATGCCATCCAGTACAAGCTGAACCAGATGTCATTGCACAGACCCTTGTCCAGTGAAGTCCTAACACCTCCATGGATGGACACTCCTCACTCACTAGAGCCCTTCCTTCAGTGTTTGACTATTGTCCAGGCTAAAAACAAGCAAACAGACAAACCCACAACCATGAAGACCTCCCCTGTAGCTAAACCAGCTTGTGTCCAGTGCTGCTCATCCCACTGTCACATACCTCCAAGAGCAGCCTGGCTCTACAGCTCCTACCCACAAGAGCAAGACCTCCCCTTCCTTCACCTTCTCTTAAGGCTGAACAAACCCGCCTCTGTTTCTCCTAGAATGCCACGTGCTCCAGCCCCCTAACCACCACAACACCAGGGTCCTTTCCTGTAAGGCTGCCCTCCATCAAGTGTTCCCAGCCTGTTCTAGGTGCAGGCTTTCTTATTGCCTCTGCTGGAACTTTTGAGTTGCTGTCTGCCCATATCTCCATCCCGTCAGGATCCCTCTGAGTAGCAGCCCTGTCTGGCCCATGGACCAAGTGAAAACACGGCACTCAGTTTCAGCTTCTTAGGGAGGTGAGTTGCCTCTGTGCTTGGATCTGAGTATCAGTGACTGAAATAACACTAACCCAGAAGTGATCAAGACTGAGATGCAGAATAACTTTCAGTCAACTAAGTAAATAAAAAAGGCACATCCAAAGCAGGCTGTAGCGGCACAAGTCACATAGTTGCAGTCAACCAGAAATAAAATTCTTCCCAGATATGGTAACATACTTGTTACTTATGAATTTCAGAATTCACTTCAAACGTTAATACTCATGAACTTTGGCTTGTTAACACCCATGAACTTTCGTTAAACTTCTTACTGTTCTCCCCTGAAACCCAGTACAATACACAACAAACCTCAGGAGTTCTGCTTGCCCAGGGAAATACAATGTCATTCACTGATTTGATTTTAATTCACTCAAAACACTTTAGACAACCACTGCCACTACAAAAAGTACCTCCAGCATAAATGCCTTGTTGATAAGGGTTGAAAGGCCAAAAAGTTTTTCCTTGTAAATAAAATTAACTGGAATATAAGGATGTACAACAGCTTTCTACTTAGGGTGACCTGAAACATTTCCTAGAGTGGTACTGGCCCCACAATTGCAGTAATGCTATTGCCCACTTGGCCAAGGCCTGTAGTTAGTGAGGAACACACTCCTCTGGTAGGCTACAGACAAACTGCACATCGGGACTAAATTACATCTTTTACTTTTTGTCTCTAAAATGAATCAAAATAAAATAACCTTGTTAGGCTGAAATAAGGCACAGTCACCAGCCCCCGCATGTTCACAAAGTAACATGAAACTGCTGAGTGAAATAGACACGTGTGTGGGATCTCCCAGATCAGCAGCTGTACAGGTCAGGCTGTGGCTCCCAGTAGATCTGTGCTCTTGTGGATCACCTGGCAACACAAACTTGATCCAGGCAAGGCAAGGGCACATGACTGCATTTTCAGAATTCAGAGCAGACAACAGGCATTTTGCCTTGGATTTGTATGTTTAAGCCAGCTGCAGAAGGGCAGAAAATACCTAATGACTAACACATGAGCACCTTTTGCACAAAGCTGAACCGGTGGAGCGAGTCTGCAGTGGGCTGACGCCTGCCACGAGAGGCCACAACAGCTCAACCTGCAATCAGAGCCCTAACACTGAATTCTCACTATTAACAGAACTACCCCTCTGGTCTCACCCCAGAACCATACAATCAATTAGGTTGGAAAAGACCTTCGGAATCATCAGCTCCAACCTATCAACACCACCCTGTCAACTACACCATGGCACTGAGTGCCACAGCCAGTCTTTCCTCAGTTACCTCCAGGGACAGTGACTCCACCAACTTTCTGGACAGCCCACTCCAATGTCTAATTAACCTTTATGAAGAAATTCTTCTTGATATCCAACCTAAACGTCGCCTGGTGCAGCTTAAGATCAACAGGTTCTGGAGGCCTACCCTGCCTGTACCATGCTCTGGAAAAGCAAGGCGTGTGTGAAAAAAGGAAAAGCATAAAAAATAAAGACAGCCTTCAAGTCTTACATAAAGGCTTCAAGCAGACTAAACTACTTCTTTTTTTCCTGACTTACAGTTTTAAAAGCCTGGGCAATGCCAGGCTTAACAATTTGTCACGCTGCAAAGAATAAGTAAACAAGTAAACAAGACAATCCAAACTGGTGGGACACGTTCTGTGCCGATCAACACCCCGCAACCTGATCGCGGGGGAACCTCGGGCCCGGCCGCCGCTGGGGGCACCTCCGGCTGGGCACCCCCAGCCCCTCCGCCCGGCCGGGCCGGGAGCCGGACGAGCCCCCGCCGCTCTGCCACTGGCCCCGGGCCGGGCTGGGGTCAGCGGCGGCCGCTGCGGCCTGGCCGAGGGCCCGGAGCCGGGAATCGCGGGGGGAGCCCGGCCCCGGGAGTCGCGGGGGGAGCTCGGCCCTCGCTCCGCGCTGAGGCTCTCACCGGCCCCATGGCTCGGCAGGGCCCGGCCCAGGGCTCACCGTGCGCTCGCCAGGCCCCGGCCCTTCTCTTCCCTTCGCCTCGCTGGCACGGGGAGCGAAAGCGAAAGCGGAGCCGCCCCAGCCCCGCTGCCCGCTGGTCCCCGCTCCCTCCGCCTCCGCCCCCGGTCCCTCAGCCCCTCACCCCCTCACCATGGGGCGGCCGTGTGGCGGGCGCTGAGCGCGGGCGGCGGCGGCGGCCCCGGGACGCTGGGCGGGAGCCGGCGCTGGGCTCCCCCTCCGCCGCGGGGCGCGGCCCAGCCCCCGCCCGCCACACGCACACCCCCTCCGCCGCCCCCGGGCTATCCTCCACCGGGCTGTTCCCCTTCGGGAACCGCCGGCCGGGGGCGGGAAGGGGACGGAGAGGAGGAGGAGGAAGAGAAGGAGGCGGAGAAGCTGTCCTGGCCAGGGAGGGGGTACCGGGAGTCTGGGATCAGGCTTGTCGGGAGGGAAAAGTTAAATTTATTCTTCTAAAAGAGACCCAAAGATTCCTGACGAAATTTTAAGAGCTTTTCATAGAATCATAAAGTGTTCTTAGCTAGAAGAGACCCACAAGGGTGATGGAGTCCAGCCCCCGGCCCTGCACAGGACCATCCATCCCCAAGAGCACCCATGTGCCCGAGAGCGATGTCCGGACGCTCCTGGAGCCCTGTCAGCCTTGGTGCTGGAATCGCTTCCCTGGGGAGCCTGTTCGGGGGCCCGAACACCATCTGAGTGGAGAACCTTTACTTGATATCCTGCCTAAACCTCCTCTGACAACTTCAGGCCATTCCACTAATACATTTTAAAAATAAGTGTAATCTGTTTGTGCCTGACACGCCAATTATTGGATCCTACCCTGACACCAGAGCATCTGTCCCTGTAAGTGTGCCCGCACCTCTGGGACAGGTGGAGCAGAACCTCCGAGGGCAACCTGTACCACTTCTGATCAATTTATCACATCTGAATCAAAGCGTAAAACTGTCTGATAATATCTGTAGAGCAACTGTGTTACGTCAATATTAGACCATTCTTTAGCTAAACATCAATAAAACAAAGTTAAAAAAGATCTCCAGAGTAACAAATATGAATGTATGTTGATTGTGATGTTCTAAACAAGATTTATGTTATCTGTTCATCTGTTGTTCCATGACTTTTTTGGCCAGCTCCAATCTAATTTGGAGGAAGTCATTATGGTCCTGTAAGTTTTGTGGATATTGATGTGTCACTGAGGAAATAAACATAAATTTGTTTCCTCAATGAAGGAATAGTAAGCAAATAGCTCAGCTCTTACACATTTTTGTAGCAACAAGCAGCCAGTCAGTGTGTATATATTAGCCATCCACTTTATGTAGACACAGTTCCAGACTGCTTGATAGGGTTTTCACAGGAGTAATAGAGAATAAATTTTAGTTATAATTAAGCCTATTTAGGGGCTGAAGAATCAAAATGAACAGAATCCCATAGCTTCATTTATTCTGTTGTTCACAGTACTGCTTCTGGAATGGCAATGGAATACTGGGGAATGCCAGGGTACCAAAAATAAAAAGCTTACATTGAACATATATTTTTAAAAGGTTAAGGACGATGACACAGGCTAGCAGTTTCACAGTTTGACCCAGATTAGGAGCAGAATCATGGAAGTGCTGACCTTGGATACAGTCATTAAATGCCAATAATTAAATGCCAGCCAACATATTTTTATGAAAAATATTTTATTAAATGTGTTTGGATTTAACTTTGGTAGATAAAGGTGGTAATGATGAAGAAATAGCTTCCATCTGGTGTGAAGCAGTATGGTATTCTCATAAATACAATGAGGAGTGCAGATTCTATGTAGCTCCCAGAATCATAGAATTAGAGAATGGGTCAGGTTGGGAGGCACCACAGTGGGTCATTGGGTCAAACCTCTCTGCTCAAGCAGGGTTATCCTGCAGCACATGGCACAGGATTGCATCCAGATAGTTCTTGAGTATCTCCAGTGAGGGACACTCCACAACACCTCTGGGCAGCCTGTTCCAGTGCTCAGTCAGCAGCACAGAAAATAATTTTTTCTTGGTGTTCAGGTGGCACTCCCTGTGCATCAGTTTCTTCCTGTTGCCTCTTGTCCTACTGCTTGGCACTGCCAAGCAGAGCTGGGCTCCATCCTCTTGACACCCTCCCTCCTGATATTTGTAGAAATTGATGAGGTCCCCTTGCAGTTGTCTCTTTTCAAGGCTCAACATATCCAGTTCCCACAGCCTTTCCTCATAATAAGTGATAATAAGATAATAATAAATTATTCAGGTGGCAGTTCTTGAGAGGAGTGATTCTAAGTGAAGATTTGTCGCTAGGTTGTCTTGGCGTTATTCTTGGCCTGATGCTGTTATTAATCACTGACACAAAAATACCAAATGACTACTTTGCTCTTATAAATAGAGATAAGAGTAATTTGCCGAGATAAACTCCTTTGAATTGCTTTGTAAGCTCTTCTGCAAAAATACTCCTCTGAAGCTAGTCAAATTGGAGGCCATACATTCAAGATAAAGCCTTAAAGGCACACCTGGAATCTGGGAGAATGACTGGCATGAGAGTGCTAAAGAGCACCTGGACATAAACAGCTAAACATGAGGTCTCAGAACAAAGCTTTTGATAGCTAATACTCTGGAGAAAACCAGAGGAACATCAAATACAACTGGAAGAGATATTCCACCTTCTTATAGAACTGATGAAACCATTATTAAAAAAATGCATTCAGTTTGAGCATTAACACTTCAAAGGCATGTTAAACGCTGAAGAGAGTCCACAAGAAAGTTAGGAAAGGTGTGGAAGATGTGCATTAACATGAGTTATATGTGGATATATATAATATATATATAAACAATACAATCCAATGCAGGTGAGGTGGTACTTTTGTCATAAGCATAGTAGTACTTGTCTAAATAGTATTAGAGATGTTTGAGGAGAAGTGTTGGTTTTCAGAAAATTACAAAACTCTGAAAGCAAAACTAGACTAAAAATGAGACCAGAAATGTGACATATCCTAGTTTGCTATAGGATCAAATTGTGAAGCTGTTTTAAAACAATGCAAAATTGTCAGTAAAAACATGGAGGTTTTTCCAAAGATCCACTGTAGTTCAAGCAGAAACAGCAGAATACATTGGTCCAATATGGATGTGGCCCAACCACAAGCTTATACTCAGCCAATCCTTTCCTTACACTTGATGACTCCAGAAAAAAAACAAGAAGTCTACTTGTATAGCAGCAAAAGAAGGAACAGGATCACAGTATTTCCAAAAGGAAAGATGTGCGTGTGTGTGTGTGTGTGTGAGTTCTAACAGGCAACTTCTGAAGAACTCCTGGCACATTTCATTGTGAATATGACGTTCATGCCTGACTATCCAGTTCTTCTACCAGGGCTAAAGCTGCTTTCCAGACTGCCCAGCAGTGACTTCAGAGAAGTCCAAATCTCCTCAAGCTAAAAATGACAATGCAAAATGCTATGTCACTCATGTAGAGATCATCAAAGGAACAAGAGTTCCACCTTCAGGTCTGGGAAAACACTACCTCTGATGGCAAAAGATATCTCAGGAAAAAAAAAAAAAGTGTAGATGGAGTTCAACTTCCTGAATTACAGACAGACTCAGACTTTCATTGCAAGTCAGTGATCAATTCTGAGTGGTCTCTTACAGATCTGATGACTGTGTGCATCCCTATATAGTTATCAAACTGTTCTGTACCACCAGTAAATATGTATGAGAAAATAATAGGGAATCCTAGAAAGCACAGAACTTTTTTGTACAACTGACTGAGGAAGAGCTTGCAGCATTTTCTATTTCTTTTTCCACATGAGCTCATTCATAGTTTTCTGATACATGGGTACAGAATGGGCAATTAATTTAACATGCTTAGCTCTATTCCCAGCAATCTCTCCTTACGCACAGACTCTCAGATAACTCATGCTGGGGATATTTCAGTGGGTGTTGCTCAATAGACACAGAACTTCCAAGATGCTTACATTATGTTCCCAAAGATGTATCTTTTTCCAGTAAAGCGTTTCAAAATTCTGTTGCCTTTTTCAACATTATTGCTATAGATACACTGATTTCAGTGTCAAATGCCTTGTGCTGGCAAAAACCATTCATAAAGTTTCCACTGTGTCATGGAAAACAGCCCTTACTGTGTTACAGTGAACACTGCTCTCTCTCACAGTCTTTCAGGAGCACGAGCTTCTTTGAAATAAGATCCCCTTTTAACATACATCCTTGGAAAAACAATCAAACTCTTTCCATAATTCTTGACTGAGGGATGTTCTTGCTGGAATATGTGGCAGTATTTTAAAAAAACATATTCTTGATGTATGCAAAATACTGGAGGTTAATTTGGGGGTAAACTGTTTCCTCCTGCTGGCAAAAGTTATGCTATAGTTTTTGAGATTTGCTAGAATTCTGATCCAAAGTTCTTTCTGTGTACTTTGTGACAAAACCATCTCAGATTAATTAAGTAATCTCAGTGGGTCTCTCTTCCAAATGCTCAGCTAATCTCCCCTAGAGAGAAGGCTCTTTTGAGCAGAAAAGTCCTTTGGCAAAGATTTTCACAGGTCTGCTGCTGTCTGTATAAAGAAGCTGATTCTTCTGACAGTTCATTGCTGTCCAACTTCCTCTTGCTACTCATTGCTCCAATGACCTCATTTCTGCTCTGCATTGCCTTTTCTTAGTCTCAACCACTCCTTGTGGTCAATGTACTCAATAACTTTGATCATCCTCGTAGTTTTTCTCTGGGTGTTTTCCATTTCTTATTGGCTTTTTTTTTTTGAGGTGAAGGGACCAGGGCTGCACACAGCACACAGTATTCATTTTGTGGGCAAATACATATTTATGCAAGGTTATAATTGTATTTTCCACTTTGTTCTCTATTACTCTACTAACAATGCCTAGCATTTGATATGTCTGTCTTTTTTTTTTTTTTTTTAACCAGGTCTGAGAAGTTTTACTGCAAGTCTTCATTCTAATCTCAAAGTCTTACTTTGAATAGTAATGGCCAACAAAATGGTTGGCTCCTTACCTTAGGAATGGGCCACACAGTTGCACTGAAAATGATTCAGGGCAACATAATGAATAAAGCAATTTTACAGAGAAATACTTCCACTCACAAGAAAGTCAGGCTGAGTCAGAAGTGAAGGAATGGCTGAGGTGTAGTTCAAAATCTATTGCTAGAAGGTATCTGTCATTTCTAATACATGGCAAGTGGTATACAATTTTAAATGTAACTGAGAAATT